TCAGGCATTGGATGCCGGCTTCCACTTGCTCTTTGTCTAAAACCGGAACTTGGACCCTGTTTACCATCGGTTCGATTGCACCCCAGGTGCCTGCGTCTTATTGATTCTTTCACAACGTAAATATTCCATACGGCCGTTGCGGGAGTGTTTCACTTTTGAAGATATTGAAGCAAGCATCAGATATGATGAAACAAGCTCAGCTATTGATGTTGATATATTTTTAAAAGGAAAAACGGTTTTAGACGGAACAACTCTATGTTTGGCAAATATGCTCCTCAATGTGTCATGGTTTTATCACATTATCGCACCTCGCAAAACATTGATTGAGAGCCAGTTGACGCCCGTTATATCTGGCAATCGCACTCGCAAGCGCCAGATATGAACACCTTGACAGTTATATTTTTCTTGGTCTCGACCGCCGCACGGCTTATGAAGTGACAGGATTTGAATTACTTATGACGTCATGAATGCCAAGGTGACTTTGAAATAGTCCCTCCGATATACGTTTTCCCATTTTCGCAGGCGTGTTAAAAATTTTCGCCGGCGCCCAGAAACTGGAGGGGCTTATGTCTTAAGAAGCGCAGGATTGTGAAAAGGACCGAAAGGTCTTCAAGACGGCTATTTCAGTTCAAAACCCAATTTAAATGTGGAACACTCCCTTTAGCGCCACAAACAGGGAGTTGGAGTGGCAATCTGTGGAAGGTCTCATGAGGCCTTCCCGGCTCCTGGTAATAATTCCAGGTTAGATCCTTTTCTAATGACTCGGCCGAATCAGGTCCTACCTATTTATGGAACTCGTAACACGACTCTTAAATTGACTATGTTCTTGCCGCACCAGAGCAACATCGCATGTCTCATGTTGGATCCCTCTGTGCATTATCGAGACAGGACCTTGGTCCTTGTCGGATTTCTTCATACAAACTAGGCTGCATCCCTCATCATAAATCAAAATCAGGTTTCAGCCCATGCTGGATCTCTAGGTGACATTTCAAGCTGGTTTCTGGGCTTCTCCTGGACGAAGAGTCGGGATGTGACTCCCAGGAGGAATCTTTGGAAACCAGACAAATGTCTTCTGCTGGCATCACTATTTTAGGAACGGCCTGGAAACAAATGACGAAAAAGAAACAAACAAATCACTGTCAGTATAACCAAAATATCTACCGAATGTGAGTGTTGAGACTGCTGCATTTTAAGCCCGTTATAATGGTACGGGATTGAGATAGAAATTAACAAAGTATGCTTGACTGTACAGCTGCAGACCGTAAGGCAGTCCATCCATGGTTAATCTAACCATGGTCCAACTATGGTTTAGCCACTTCCCAAACGTTTCATTGGATCGTTGATTATCCCAGATCTAATGATCGGTATGCAACTGTTACTGCATGTCTTGAGCGTCCTGCAAACTGCATCTTGACTATTATCAACTACTTGTATCTCCGTTCGAGCTGGGTCAGTCATGCACCCGGTCGGTTGGAGTCGGTTTGTCCGCAGCTAGCTATCATATCTTGTGTTGTGCAACGTTCCTACTTCAGTCGCGGTTGTGAGGACCGCACAAAGATTAGATTAGAAATGCTAGAGCGAAGTGGACAACTCGAGTGAGCCTTTCAACTCCGTGTTCGCGGGTGGCTAGAGACGCTGCCACGTGGCAAAAGTGGGACGGTAGCCAGTCATGCTCTCTGTGCTCTTTCTGGTCGTACGGCGCCACATGGGTAACGAAGTTCATACAAGTGGAGAAACCTCTATCTGCCACACCCGTCACAGCATGGTCCTCCAGATACAGTTTTGCGGAATGAATGAGACGAGCTGCGTTCGTCTTAAAGATGAAATAATTGCTCACGCTATCATCATTGATAGCCGCTTCCCCCGGCCTCTGACTGCATCGTCTCCGACATTTAAAGGTACAGTCCTGAAATGTGGTTGCGGGGGTTCACGATCTGTTGTGCACACTCTCGCAGCATCTGACGAGACCTTGTGCATCCAATGGCGGCTCCAGACGGGCGTTTGGTAGCCACGCTGGAAGGATTGCGTGCGGTTTCGTAACCCAAATTCCACTGAAACCCCGCCTCCTATTACCGGCAGTGACGTCTGGTCTGTTGGAAAACATATCTTTGTTTCTTAAAAAAACACGAGGATATTCTAAGAAGTTTCCTTAAAATTCCTCTTGCTCGCAGATTCTTCTCCAAAGGTTTCACTCCGCCGTCGAAAATGAAAACAATCCAAGGAGTTTCGGATGGGAAAGTCTGGCCCGCTGAGCTTACCAGCATCACCTAATTATACATACTCGTCGGGTCCTATCAGATCTTTGCAATCGATCCCCGTGATTTTGATTGGATGTGTAACGAGGATGCACGTCAAAATGCTTTGAAAATTACGCCGCTTTCGTCTTCATTGTCGGTCATTAGGGCGGACAGCTGGGGTCCCTGTCACGGGAGTGGAGACTGACTGGCCATGTGATGCGTCACATTGCAATGTGAAATGCTCGCGTTTCACAGCTTTTGCAAAAAAGCCATATTGTACTAAAAGGTGCTACAAAATGAAGCGCTATCATTCGGTGTCACATTCTTTTTCGCCTATAACTGGGACACGCCTGGCTCCGAGCTGTGACAGTAACACATGCTTCTGTGCGAATTGGCCGGACCATTATATGGGTCTTAACTTGAATATGTATTCAACACAGGCGTCGTGAAAAAGGAAATGCTTGTGTGCGGGCTCTCAGCCAAGTTGAGAGGATTAAGCTCGAAATGTGAGGGCTTCATCGCCTTCGGCTGAACACGATCCTACGACCCTTCGTTGTGTGCCGCGTGCATTCAAAGAGACAAAAAAACTGCTTCGATGTTTTTGCACGTTGGGCAACGTGTCAGTTGGCCTGCGTAACATTCCAACACGCATCTGCGCAATTTCCGTACTCTTGCAATTTGTCATTCTCAATCAATCAATCAATCAATCATCAATCTTGAATTGTTGTAACTCCCACAATCTGGTTATTCTGGCCATGCGTCAAGTTTAGCAGACGCACTCACAGACATGCCACAGGCAAATGAATACATGCACATGGATCTTGACACAAAACACCACAGCACGTGATGCACTGTCAGGCGTTAGTCTGTTGGAGCGATCGCCGAGCTCGCCGGTTAGAGACACTCAGGCCAGCCGACTCCCGCAACGCCTCAGGAAAACTTATTTCACGTGGATGCAGCTGCGCACCCTTGGCGGCTCCAAAAGGCTATCGGCGGTCCCACGCATGATACGGGTTGACACTGTGTCGCGGTACAGCACACGGTCTTTCAGAGACATCGGTGAGCGAGACGTGTGTAGGATTTTGCAGCTTGACAGCTCGACAGCGTCGAACGGCGTCGAGCACGAGCATGGGCACGCCCCCCCCCCCCCCCCTCTCCAATGACGTCGCGTCGACCTGATAGCGGCCGATAGCCGGGTACGCCAGCCGCGCGTCCGCCACTTCCATGCAGGAGGCTGCACCGGGGCCGGACGGCCCTCCATGTCAGCCCGTTGGCGCTGCCCTCTGCCGCGTGCCGCTGGGATCCGACCCGGGCTAACGGGGCGGCCCTCGCCGCGCTGCCGCCGGCCGCTTGAGGCCCCGGCATGTGAGGTGGTCGGACGCCGCCGGTGGGCCGCGCGTGACGACCAGCCTCTGGTTACGCCGCTGTCATCGGGTCGGCGTCACCGCCCGTCACGTCACGCCATGTCACGCCGCGCTCCGCTCACGCCGTCCCGGCTGGCTCACTAGCTACGGCTGCCGACGGACGTACCGCCCCGTGCCGCGTCACGAAAAGGCATGAAGATATCCGCACTGCAGAGTGCCAATCTGCGCGAAGGCGGGGAAATCCGCCGGACGAGCGGGCGGGAGGACCCGTGACCCGCCGCGAGAGGGGCTCAGTTCGGCGAAGTCGACGGCGAGGCAGAGGACCGTGTCTGGCGGGGCGGCCGGCCTGAGCAAATAAACGGCTCTAGCCAGATACCATGGCTTGCTGACAACAGCTGACCGGCAGTATCTGGACACGGATGGACCGGGGGCGGGGTCCTGGCTGCTCGGGGGAAGGGGGCTGGAGAGAAGGCAGTCCCGGACAGACTACTTTCGGCTTTATAACATGCATAACGATGTCTCCCCTAATGCACTTTTGGAATGCGCATGAATCACGGTACCCTAAGGGCAGGACGGTAACGTAGGATTTGACAGTACTGTGGCTCGGGGCGCCAGTTTGCATATTTCCAGGGGGCTCGGCTGCTATAAATGCCAGGAACAGAAGGTGAGATGACACTGCTCAGAAACACTGAGATGGCTGGGATATTAAGATGAAGAGCTTAATATTCCAAGCAACACATATTCTGATCTCGCAATTTTTGGGGGGACACTATTAGTTATGAAAATAGGTGCCCTTGAGTGAGCGACCTCAGACGTCGGCAATTTGTAGCATAACGAGTAATGCAGACACCTAAACTCAATAAAAGGTCAGGTTTTCTGCGGCTGCTCGAACGTCCGCGGATCGCGGCGTGGTCGGGGGTAACTGGAGATCACGAAACTCGTTAGAGGGCCGCAGACGGGGCACACTCGCGGCCGATCAAACGCATTCCCTGTGTGACGGTCGAGACCGGCTGATCTCCGAGAGCAGCCCCCAGATGGGTCCAGCGCTGATGTCGAGCGGCGCAAGTTCATGGAGGTTGTGCGGAACAGAACAGCGAGCTATGGCGTTAAACAGAACAGCGAGCTATGGCGTGAGCAGAAAGGGGGAGCTGACCGGGGAGCCGGCGTTGCAGGCGTCACACAAGGGTGAAAATAAAAAGAACTAGACAGTCCACAGTATGTGGTCCATAGAACCAGAAATTAAAAGGCTAAAAAAGGAGATTGGAATTACTAGTTCCGAAAACACCAGACCACAGGAATCTCTATGTGCCACAAAGCACTCAAATAGATGACGTGATCACTGACCACCGATGTGGGCAATATCCCTCGAGTCCTAGAGTTCATCCCAGGGCGAGGACGTGGCGCCGGAGCCGGTCACAATCCCTAGCTCTCGAAAAGACCACAATTGTCAACGGAATCATGCGTCTCCTACCGTGCTCAAGTGTGGTTGGACGTCTTTGTGAACGTTAACGCCATTCCATCGGCGAATATCCCTGACGGAATGGGTTAATGTCCCCTACCGCCTGTGTGCAACCGAAGTCCCACTCGGATCTCGACACGAGGCACGCGGCGCCGTAAAACACGTCACCCTGCTGGCGCCAGCAGCAAGTTGTGAACTCAACCATCTCCCGACAGATGTCGCTATGAACAAAATCGGCGGTCGCCTGATGGACGAAGTCATCCGACCGCTGCGAGAGATGCAGGTGGATGAGAGCGAGTATGCTGCACTCAAGGCCATCGTTTTCTTCGATCCAGGTACAATATGTGCGTAATTCTGACCTTCTCATCGGGGTGGTACATTGGGATGGTCAGAGGTGATTGGCGAGCTGTGCGCCACCTGGTGCCACGGTTGGTAATGCCCGACACGCTGCATCTCACGTGTTTACAACCAGAACCGGTGGTGACGACAGCCCTCGGCCGGTGACCTCTGTAGAAGCGTGATTTTTCCCTTATATGGTAAGCATGGGTTGAACTCTGCCAGACCTGTTACCGCTGATGACGAAGTGTACCTTTCGTGACAACTGGCTTGCTGAGGCTCTGCCTGGGATATTGAGTGGTGGCACGGTGGGTTTTGTGGTGTCTGTTGTCGAAGGTATGGGACCTCCGCGTCATCTTGAACCGGTGGTTTTGTAGTCTCCGTGGTGTTCGGGTACGCTGGCATGGTGATTTCTGTGATATCTGTGACCGTTGGTGTGGTGACTTCTACTCAGGCGGCGGCTTTGGTCGATGGTGCGGTCATTTCTGTGACCTCTGTGAGATTCATGTGGCATCTGCGACCAGTGATGTGACCTCTGTGGGGTTTGTGACGGATGGTGTGATGGCCTCTGCAGCGCATGTGACCGGTGGTGGTGTGATGACCTCTGCAGCGATGACCGGTGGTGGTGTGGCGACCTCTGCTGTGAATGTGACCTGTGGTGTGGTGACCACCGCAGCGTATGTGACCGGTGGTGGTTTGGTGACCTCCGCAGTGTATGTGACCGGTGGTGGTGTGGTCACCTCTGCAGTGTATGTGACCTTTGGTATGGTGACATTTGCAACGTATGTGATCGGTTGTGTGGTAACCTCTGCAGCGTATGTGACCCGTGGTGTGGTGACCCCTGCAGCGCATGTGACCTGTGGTGTGATGAACTCCGCAGCGTGTGTGACCGGTGGTTGTTTGGTGACCTTCGCAGCGTATGTGACCGGTGGTAGTGTGGTGACCTCTGCAGCGTACGCGATCGGTGGTGTGGTGACCTGTGTGGTGCCTGTGACCGGCAGCGGCCAGCAGGGGCTGCGATGGCGACACGACTCGGATCGAACAGTACCGGTACCAGATCCAGCTCAACCTCGAGGACTACATCACCGACCTGCAGTACAACCAGCGCGGGCGCTTCGGCGCCATGCTACTCATTCTGCCCAGGTCACCGGAATTTAGCGGAAAACAGCGGGTCATCAGTCAGGCATTGTCTTCAATTGTCTTCTTTTCGCTGCAATCCCTCACTGGAAGGAGCGGTCGCAGTTTACAGTCCTTCTTGCGAGCCTTCTTCCAATGCTTCTCATCATCGGCTTCAAGGTCTCTGAGGCTTGTCATTGTCAAAGCGGTTGCCGTCAACACCGTCTAGCGAGGCGTCAGATACAGCCGCGTACCCCGTCCACGTTACTTTCAAATATGTGACACTCGGTGTCGCCTAGTGCGATTGCCACCAATGACTCCACTGGCTAGTGATTCCATCCTCATCAGCTGTCCCCTGCTCCAGTAACCACCTTTCGTCTCTGACGACATGTCGTGACGGTACCACCCATCCCTGCGGCCTTATTGTCCGCCCCTGACCTCACGGCGTGTCCTGACGGGCACCTCTGCTCTCAGCCTGCAGTCGATAGCGCGAGAAATGGTGGAGCAGATCCAGCTGATGAAACTCTTTGGAGGAGCGCGGGTCGACAACTTGCTTGTCGAAATGCTGCTTGGAGGTGCGTGCTGCTGACGCGACGTTTGGTCGCTAACATCGCGCTTTTGATCGCAGTCATAGCGGCTTTAAAAAGGGCACGTGCTAGTCACCGCTCCGCCTGAGCGATAAACGTAGGCTCGGGTCGGGAAGCGCCCATTGCCCCCCCCCCCCCCCCCCCTGATGCCCCCTGATCATATTTCGGTAGATAATTTGATACTCCTCTTGAAGTCACTGACCTGCAGTTGGCCAAAGTCAGGCCGCGGCCGTCCGCCGAGGCACTTTTCCTGGAATCTTGAGGCTGATTCGACAAACGAGTCTTAGACAGTGTCATATGCAACAGTAAGATGGTTTGTCAGACATTCAGACAAATTAACTTGGTCCAATCTTATGCTTGTCGATCACAGATCATGTCTGAGACTGTGAGCCTCTGTCAATATCATCATGTGCACTCTTGACTCCAGTTTCAAAATAGAATTAAATGCAATAAATAGGTCGCAAAGTTCACCACATTTTCTCAGACAAGCCCTATTTAGTTAAGTTTTGAAATGGTGTTTTATGGGGACCCGTACAGTTTACGCCGACGCATTGAAGATTTCAGATCACCAATGAAAACGTGTTTTCAAGCGTTCTATGTCTCCAAGGCACATGCACACTAGTTTTCCTTATTGGCATGCCAGGAAGCACGTCAAATCCGTGAGGGGTCCGGAAATGGCGCACTCGGGCCGTGATGCACTCTGTTTTCGGCTACCTCTACATAGGGAAGTGTATTCGTCAGGCACGTGAAAGTTTTTTCAACGCAGTTCGCAATAAATCCATTAACAGCCTGGTTGGGTTTCATTTGTGGACACATCACTTCACAGATTTGATGTCCTTCCTAACGTGCAAATGCGGAGGAATTATTGTGCAAGTGTCTTGGGTGCGTAGAAAGGAGCTTAACAAACGATTACCATTGGTGATCTGAAGCCTATCATAAACAAATGTTAGCAACTGGCTCTTATCAGGGCAGCTAAGAACGCTTCCTCGATATGAACCTCAGTACACTATTTTTGTATGTCCATGATTGCCCTTGTATCTCCATCTGCCATCATTTGTGTCGTCCTTCTATTGTCATGTGGTCGCCCTATCACTGGCATCGAGTGTTCTGTTTTTTTGCAACGCACGAATGCTTCCGGGGGTGAGACGGCCCAACCTGTTAGAATGCGTCGGCATAAAAACCTTTTGCATGAACTATCCCCATCAACATCCTTCGCTCCAGATTCTCGTTAAAAGGAGTGTTCCGCATTCGTACATGGTTTCGAACGGAAAAATCACATTGAGAACCTTTCGGTGCTGTTCACAACCCTTCCCTGCTCAAGACCTAAGCTCACCCGGTTTCTGAGCTACACGTCCGCGAAAATGGGAAAGGTTTATCGGGGAGAGTATTTCAAAGTCGCCTTGGCACTCATGACGTCACAATAACGTCTTTGAAATCCTGTCATTCCATAAGTCATGCGGCGATCAAGGTCAAGGAAAAAATCCCTGTCGAGGCGTTCATATCTGACGTTTATAAGCGCGATTTTCAGACATAACAACTGTCAATTGGTTTTTAATGTTGTGCAAGGCACGTAATCAAACCGTGACGCACTGAGGAGCATGTTTACGAAGCAGATAATTATGCTGTCCAGAGCAGTCCTTTCCACATAAAAAGCGTACCACAGTTATAATTGAGCTGCTTCATCATATCTAATGGCTGCTTCGGTGTCTTCAAACGTGAAACATTCCCTTTAGGCCTATTTGTTACAATTTATTCGGATATGAGACTGCAGTTAGGAGTGTACAGCATGCAATTGATCCTAGCATTACAACTGATCTAACTGACCTTTGATCAGTCATTTAGGTCAAATCACGGTCAGCATTTAACATGTATACTGGAAATCCTGCTCAATGGGATAAACGTCGGCATTCATTTTGAATATATTGATCACAAGGGACGTCAAAACAGGTTTATTTTTATGACTTACTGAAGGTCAAGGGCCCTAAGATCCTTATGGACGCCAGCCTAAAATAACGTCGATTAACCTTCTGCTTTGAGAAGAAAATACCAAAATGATGTCAAAGGTTTTTGGTTATGCGGACTTAAAAGAGAGGTAGGGTCGCTGACCTGACGTGCCCTTCTGTTTAGATCAAGTATCTAACATGAGGCTGGTTGCGTGAGCATGTCTGGGGCCCCCAGGCACAGGTCTCGAGTTCGACCTTACTTGATCCCAAGGTCAGGACCTAGAGGCCTAAAAGTGTCACACAAATCTGTTCATATATGGGGCTACCTACCTGTGAATCTGATGTCTCTAGCTTTCTTATTTTTGTTCAGATGTCAAGGAAGGTCAACCTGACCCCCCCCCCCCCCCCCCCCACCTGAGCGCGTCGCATTTAACCAGCCACCCGGGCGCGAGTTTTAGTCCCACGTTACAGCTATTGATCGATGAGCACAGCTGTGCTGGTCAGTTCCCAAGCTTTTGCCTTTGTTAAGACAACAACAAAAGTTCAAATGCTTAAACAGAACCAGAACTTGTGCGAACCTTCCCAGCCACTCAACTCATCGGGCTGACCTGTTCGCAGGTGGTTCCGGGGACGATTCACCACCGACAGGGACGCCCTCCGCCACGCTGGCCCTCGCCGCGGCCCCGTACCCACCGCCTCCACCGGCCTCTCTACTCATGTCAACGCCGCCGCCGTCACACTCGTACATGCCCGGCTACCAGCTGCCCGACCTGCCGCCGCCGCCGCCGCCGGTGACGTCGCACCAGCCGCCGGTGGTGGCGTCACACCTGGGCTCGCCGCCGGCAGTGACGTCACACCTGAGTTCGCCGCCGCCGCCGGTCGCGGTGGTGGCGGGCCGCTGTTCGCCCGTGATCCAGAGGTGCGACTACGGCGCCGGCTACAAGCGACCCATGCTGCCCTTCAAGCAGGAGGCGTGCGACGTGGACGCCGAGCCGGCGGCCTCCTACGCCAGCTGACTGCCGTGGCCAGCCGACGTCACGCGGAGGCCGTGACGTCACGATGGCTGGCGCCGCCTGGTGCGGCTGCTTGATACTGGGTGGTGACGCTGCCTGTCACGAGACGACAGAAAGTTTCGGGGCCGCCAGCACCAGCGCTGAGGTCCCTACAGTACGAGTTTGTACCAGGACGGAGGCACGCTGAGAGGCAGGCGCGCCGGGCTTAGCTCTTGTCGAGCGCATCATGAGCTGGTGTGATGGTGCCGCCGGCCAAACGCTCCTCAGCCACCTGTGTCGTATCCGAAGGAATGCGAAGGACTGCAGTATATCTGCTACACAAACTTCATGCGAAAAGGGCTGATTTGCGGCACTGGAAAACGCTAGTTTTGGTTGGTGGGCGACGTTAAATTAACGTAATTCCCCACTTGTGCAAGCAAGTCCTGTGAACCATTCAAGTGCGCTGGCTTGTTGGGGTAACGCGCGCCGTTAACGGGATATATGGTATTTATGCCATCGATATTCATCTAATTTTGTACTTTTGTGAATACAGAAGCTTTGTATGTCATGTGCACGAAGTGTAAGTCAAACAAATACACTGCATGTATTTGGAGAAACTGGAAGACTTTGTCGGTAGACCAGTTATGACCCTGTCCATTTCAGTTGGTCTCTGCTACAAAAGACGCTGATGTCAATTCACTAGTCCGAGCTACTAGTTCAAAGTAGGAGAGCGCTACTTAGCCACGATGACCAGTCATTTGTCTGATATCAAAGTTGCACCACACAAGTCTGGCGGTCATTTCACTCGCATTGCCTCTAGCAAAAACATAACATAAACTCGAAGTGAATAAGGTTACATCCTTTTCACACTTGTACCGGTTCCGACTGGCGGTGGGCCCAGTCCGCGCCCATCCCGCTCTCACCATTTGGCTGGCGCGACCGGCAGGATTACTTGATCCCGACCGAGCCAACCACCACGGCCCATCACCAACCGCCCCAGTCAGGCACAGGGCGGAAGGGCACGTTGCCACATTTGTTACTACCCTCTAAGAACCAGCAACGCCAGACAACCGCACACACACACACAGTTAAACACCATGATAGAAACGCTCGGGCGCGTGCCAACTCGGCCAGACCTCGTCACCGTCCGCAGTGAGCTGCCTCCGCCTACCACGCCGGCGGGCCGCCCGTAACCCACGCCGGCGGGCCGCCCGTAACCCACGCCGGCGGGTCGCCCGTAACCCACGCCGGCGAGCCGCCTATGGTGTGCGCCGGTGAGCCGTTCGTGGCACGCGCCGGCGAGCCGCTCGTGGCACGCGCTGGCAAGCCGCTCGTGGCACGCGCCGGCAAGCCGCTCGTAGCACGCGCCTGCGAGCCGCGCTTGGCAGGTGCCGCCAAACCGTTCGTGGCACACACCCTGTCGGGCCGTTTGTGGCACGCGTCGGCGAGCCGCTCGTTGCACGCGCCGGCGAGCTGCTGGTGGCACGCGCCGGCGAGCCGCTCGTGGCACGCGCTGGCAAGCCGTTCGTGGCACGCGCCCCGCCGAGCCGCTCGTTGGCACTCGCTGGCGGCTGCTGGGGCACTCGCCCGCCGACCGCTCGTGGCACGCGTCGGCGAGCCGCTCGTGGCACGCGCCGGCGGGCTGCTGGTGGCACGCGCCGCCGAGCCGTTCGTGGCACGCGTCGGCGGCTGCTGCCGTCGCGAGACCCGGCGCGCCACCTATCGCTGCTTCAGCGGAACTCGCGGCTGCCCACACCGAAGATCCTCGTGTTCATGCTGGCGACGCAGTTACGCGCAAATCAGTCGACAGAGGCGACTCGACAGTCCAGGGCAGCCTTCCCGCGTGAATAAAGGATCCATGACTAGACCTACAAGTGTCTGGACCTCTGCGGTCAGCGATCTTCCTCCTCTCCATTGTTGGGTAAATCCGGCAGGCCGATGGTCGGGTGCTGCAGGAGATCAGTCCGTGGCGGGAGGTAAACCGTAGCGTCCGTGTGGGCCTGCATCACCGCCAGCGTTGGAGCGCGGTCAAGGGGGTCTAACCTAGCCGCCTGGTAGGGTGGAAAGTGCACGAGGAAAGTGCATTATTTTGTTCACGCGACGCGTGAATAAAATGCGTAGCATAGCAGGGCGTCCCGGTGTCCGACATAAATAGTCACATCGAGTGATCTGGCTGCGTCACATAAGTAGTCACATCTGGCTGCGTCGCACCAGACGCCCGCATTGAGAACAGGAGGCTAATTTCACACGCCTTCCACGCGGGGCCATCATCATGCCCGCTGCGCACCCGGATGGCGTCACGACAGTGCGGGTTTAGGGCCCGAGCGGGGCAGACGTATTAAAGAACCCTACATGGCCAGAGAGATGGGTAAGTCCGAGCCTCGCACTAGAGCGTACGCGTCGAGCCCGGGTGCCGCCCAAGCTGTTGCAGACGTTATCGTTCTCGATTCTGAATATAGCACTGCTCGCGTTCAAGATCACTTTTGACTTTCAAGCTGAGAACGAGGCGTGTTGCATATCTTTCGATCGCACGGCAGGGTGAGATATCCGTTCGGAGGCGCAGGCCACTCTATCGCAGTGCCTCCCTTGCTGCTCGGATGGGGAGGGGATGCTCCTAATCTTTGCTTTGGTGAGTGCGGAGCTCTGCCTGGTGGTAGCGGGGCTGGACGTGAGACGATCTGTACGCTGACGGCGGCATCTCAATCGCTCTGCTTCTAACTGCATTGCTCCTGAATTATATGCACGCACTGTCGTACAATGCCGTAACTGTCGCTCGCCTCATCTCCACTCACCTGCGGAGATGAGGCGAGCGACAGGCTCCGTGCGGCGATGGAAGTTCTCACAAAGCCAGGACTGGGCTAACAGTGATTTTTGGTTATTTCTTCTCAGCCAAGGCCCATAGAGCCAATCCTACATATTAATTAAGTTGGTGGGTTCAGTCCGCTCCGATCCCCGCTTCCCGCACCCATCTCCCTTGACCCCAAACAACCTTGGTCCAACGCAGCCACAACTAGATTTTGACTACCGTGAGCCATTTCGCCGGGCTGATCCTGAGCTATTGGACAAGCCAGTGGCGGCGAATCCTGTCTTCGGATGGGAGGGGCAAGCGACCTTTTAGAGGCCCTAAACGACGTGGGCCTCCTTTGACGGCGCGGGCCTCTACCACCAGCAAGATGAATGAATTCAAGGAAGACAGTGAAACGTAGACATGTGCGGCGATATACGTATGTGTGCGTTTGCAACGCAGACTTGGTTGTGTTTGCGCAGCCAGTATTAGTATGGAAAGAATGGCATAGGAATTGAAGAGGAGCCCTTGAATTCAAAAGCCTAACACCCTCAAACATAATTAAAAGAGCAAAACTGTCATTGCAACTGTAATGCCAAGTATCGCTGTTTTCGCTCGTAAAGACCGCGAGTAAGTATGCTCTAGGTTTTTGACTACCCGCTTGTGAACTTACCTGCTGGCAACTATCAGTTGGCCAGATCCATACAAATATTTACTCGCATTCAATCCATCCGTTAGATTTATCCACCAGATATTTATCCACCAGATAAGATGCCAGATATGTAAGACTTTCCCAGATAAGATGCCAGATGGGTAAAACCCTTAGGGGCTCATTATGTTTCCCTGGTCCGGTTTGAAAGGCCTCGTCGTCTGGCCCGGCGTACCTGCCGGCTGCCATCCTGGTCACAGAGGGCGCGGGGGCACTCTGGTCGACCCAGAGGCCCCCAAAGCGATACATCACACCTTGTTTCAGGCCTCCCGACTAATGCAAGAGGCAATCAACGACAACCGTGGACACTGATCGTGTGTCTGCTTTGGAAACTGGCCCCTGGGTTCCAGAATGACACGGAGCGGACTGTGCGGCATCGGCAGTCTCTGACCAAGCTAAAGGTCTCCATCGTCCCAGGGAACAAAAGGCCGACTGATGGAAATGGCCGGGCCGGAGTCCCTTAATGCGATCTCCAGCCGATCCTCCAGGTCCCTCCAATCGGACCGCTGATCGTCGATCCCAAGGGCCCCGAAGGGCTCCTCGAGACCTAAAGGGGACACGAGCTGTTTATGCCCTCTCGCATGCGCGCCCCCGTTCATCTGATTTCACCTTCTCCTGAACGAAGTCAACGCAAGGGAGTCATTGTACATGGGCGTCAATTATAATTTAGGAGTGGCTGTGGTTTAAAAAAGGTTTGTTTGGGCTCCTGTGTTTAGAATAGCGCCTGGATACACCAAAGACCCCTGTCATGCTCTAGATTAGATAGATTCTCTGGAAGGTCTTGACCAGACAGCGAGGTTTGGGTGAAATCACCAGATATGTTTAACACGCGCTAGGGTGTGGGGGGGGGGCGGTCAAATTGCCCCCGAAGGTTTTCCAGAACGGTTTCCGAACAGTGCAGCGCAGCCGCGCCAAATTTTGCAGAGCTGTAGAAAATTAAACAGCAAATCGTTTGACACAACAACTTAGATGTACCTTGTAAGGTCGCTGATCTATGGCAGGTCAAAGTCAGGCCATGGCTTCAGCGAAGGCAATTGCTAGGGAATCGTCCAATCTGATACAATAACGGAGTGTTTGACGAAACCATATATCTCTGAGATGCTTTCTTAGGTAATGTAAATATTGAATGACCAAATTACTTTGACCTAAGGTCAGGTATAAAGGTCAGACCAAGGTCACAATCAGCATGATTTATTTATCTAGGGCTTGCTGTATGGAATAGTTTGTCGTGCTCATTTCAAATTTATTGACAGCAGGAACGGCTTTATACATCTTTTATTGACTTCTTATAGGTCAGAAAAGGTCATTGACCTAAGCTGACCCGGGTGTACATGTTGTTTTATGAACATACTGCCTAGCGTAATCTTTCTCGCTTATTCAAATGCAAAACTCGGAGCAATCTTTTATGATTTGGTCACCATGACCTTAAAAAGGTCAAACAAGGTCACTGACCACAAATGGGCTTTCGACCTTTTGCTTAGAAACAGCTTCCTAGGTTCTGGGGCACTTTGGTGACCAACCTAGAATTCGACCTTGTTTGGACTTGTTTGACCCGAAGGTTATGACCTAGGAAGCTAAAACTTTGACCTAAGTGAGTTCATGTACAGGTCAGGACACTCTGCAAATTTGGTGTGTCTAGCTTTTTTAGTTCCCGAGATCTCAGCGGGGGGTCAAATTGACCCCCTCACCTGAGCGAAGGGCATCTAGCCGGCCACCCGGGCGCGTGTTAAGGCGTGGTCAGGTCCCTTAGCAAGGCCTAGGGCCATGTGCCTTTGATCTGCCCTAACTGGAATTCCGAAACCGTTGCGGCTTCTGGTGTCTGGTGACCTGGCCTGGCCCGGCCTGGCCTTTGGTGGCTGGCCAGGTCCAAGATCCTCGGTATGTATCCATGTGTCTCTGAAGGGGTTGTTGGCATTGCGGTCACAACTTTTGCGTCTTTATTGATGTACTCAATGCCCCAACGCGTTAGATTTAATTTTATTTTAAGGACACCATTCTGGGAACCTGGGTCCCCGTTTTAGGTCGATAATGGGTCCTTGTAAGGCATAACAGGTGCTTTTCCTCCCTTCTGAGCTCACGGTTGGCCTCTCCTGACCAAAGACAGATCATATCCATGCCCACCA